ATAGCACTTCCTATATATAATTCTTTACCTCCGGACCATTTCGAAACTCCTCGTGATGTCCGGGATCTCATCCGGGACTCCGAACAACATTCGGGTTACTGCATATACATATCCCTACAACCCTAGCATCACCGAACCTTAAGTGTGTAGACCCTACGGGTTCGGGAGACATGTAGACATGACCGAGATCGCTCTCCGGTCAATAACCAACAGCGGGATCTGGATACCCATGTTGGCTCCCACATGCTCCTCGATGATCTCATCGGATGAACCACGATGTCGAGGATTCAAGCAACCACGTATACAATTCCCTTTGTCAATCGGTATGTTACTTGCCCGAGATCCGATCGTCGGTATCCCAATACCTCGTTCAATCTCGTTACCGGCAAGTCACTTTACTCGTACCGTAATGCATGATCCCGTGACCAGACACTTGGTCACTTTGAGCTCATTATGATGATGCATTACTGAGTGGGCCCAGTGATACCTCTCCGTCATAAGGAGTGACAAATCCCAGTCTTGATCCGTGTCAACCCAACAGACACTTTCGGAGATACCTGTAGTATACCTTTATAGTCACCCAGTTACGTTGTGACGTTTGGTACACCCAAAGCACTCCTACGGTATCCGGGAGTTACACGATCTCATGGTCTAAGGAAAAGATACTTGACATTGAAAAACTCTAGCAAACGAACTATACGATCTTGTGCTATGTTTAGGATTGGGTCTTGTCCATCACATCATTCTCCTAACGATGTGATCTCGTTATCAATGACATCCAATGTCCATAGTCAGGAAACCATGACTATCTGTTGATCAACGAGCTAGTCAACTAGAGGCTTACTTGGGACATGTTGGTGTCTATTATTCACACATGTATTACGATTTCCGGATAACACAATTATAGCATGAATAAAGACAATTATCATGAACAAGGAAATATAATAATAATGCTTTTATTATTGCCTCTAGGGCATATTTCCAACAGATCAGCCGTGTAATTAGGCACCTTACGAGGGCCTTTGAAGTCCTTGGGCAGACGCTCGTTTCGTATAGCTGCCGTTAGACACGGCACACCGAAAGCCTTGGAAGTCACTCCCGCCTCCACTGAAGCTATCGGGTAAACCGACGCGTGCTGATGAGCCACCAGTTGAGCCACCAGTTTGGCCTCTCGACGCGCTCTATTCTGGTGCCCCAAATCTAGCGGACCGGCCCCATTGTGCGCCGGGTCATGTCCATGAGGTTGGTTAAGGCGCTGCTCCGTACTCGAGACCGCTGGTGAATCTATGTGCCTGCTATAGCTCCGACTTGGACGAGGGGTCGCATGAATCCGATCACGACTATAAGAATAAGCCTGCTGCTGTACCAAAGCTGTTTGAAGAAGTTACCTGGCCCTTCGGGTTTCAACGCCGCTGGAGTTTCACCCTCGGCAGGCAGAGCCGCCAATCGTGTAGCTGCAATAATCATGTTGTCCAGAGGGGTGGAGTAATGACCCGATGGTGTCACCACACAATGAGGCGGAGTGTTGTTCATATGCGGCTGGCCAGGCGGTTCAACCATCCGATTCACCACCGGCAGGTTACTGGCCCTTGCTCCAGGGGTATTGAAAAGGTCCCTCGACTCATAAACCAAGGGCAAACGACTCCGATGATTTCTCCTCAAGACCTCGTGTGAAGCGTTCTGATCTACCATGAGCCGATATGAATCTACTTGAATCCGCTGCGCTTGGGCTTCCAAAACGGCCGTCTCTAGAGCCGTCCTGGCGTTTCTGCTGCTAAGTCTGCCTTAGCCTGCGCTATCTCATCACACAACTTAGCTATCTCTACTTTGTGCTGCTCCTTGGTGTCTGGGGTTACCTCAACCTCCATCAGAGTCGCCAGAGCATCCAATAGATCTGCTAAAACTTGAGCCGTCGGGCGGGCTGACCCGCCAGCACCTGCAGTTGTCATTGCTGCTGCACCAGATGTTATGGCCGTGACGGCTGTCGAGCTGAGAATCGGCTGGGTGCCCGCCATGAAGATCTTCACCCTGTTCGGTGGCTCGCGGGGGTCCAGAATACTGTCGCCATCGGAACAGCCCGCAAGCCATCCATCTTGCAGTTATTGAATTGGTCTCGCCTGTGGACTCATCATCAGAGCAGATTTCCGTCTCACCGCCAGAGACATAACCTTCCAACTCAGCCCCATGGGTGAACCCAATGAAAACATGCCTTACGGCGGGTGGAACCCGGGCGGGTCGTGCACGCTGAGCCGTCTCGATGATGTCGGTGCAGATGTCCGGCTTAGGGCCCGGCTCGCCAATCTTGCCGATGAAGATGTGGATTCCGCCGAAGGGGACCCAGTACACATACTCAATTGAGCCGGCCTCGGGGCCCTAGTCTGCATCGTCGATGTAGAGCTTGCCGTGACGACTCCTGGTCATCCGGCCCACAGTGTATCCCTTGATCCCTTTGAAGCTGCCCTTTAAGAACTCAAAACCACCATGCACTGGCCCCACGGTGGGTGCCAACTGTCGTGGAAGTGTCACGGCAGAGGTCCTCATAGTAGGACTTAGTTGTGGAGCCATTATGACAAGGTTAGCTTAAAAGGGGTTAAAACGGGACAAAGCACACGGGGAGTTTATACTGGTTCGGCCCCTTGCGGTGAAGGTAAAGGCCTACTCCAGTTTGAGGTGGTATTGCTAGGGTTTCGATTACCAGGGAGCAAACACGCTTTGCCTGGCTTTCAATTTGATGTTTCTTGCCCTAAGCCGCTGCCGGGTCGTCCCCTTATATACATGGGTTGACGCCCCGCGGCCTACAGAGTCCCGGCTGGCTCATACAACGTGTTCGGTGACGTATCTTACAAGTCTACACGTATATGGAGGTTTACACTTACGGGCCTTAAGCCACCTCTGGACTCGGGCCTCTCACAAGCCTATCTATGAACCGCCATCTTAGTATACTCTTGGGCTTCATTATAGATGAATCGTCATAATGGTTGATCCGGCCCCTCCTGGGCGGGTCATATCCCCAACAGCTTTCGACGAAGCAACCACTAACCCGCCGAGCGCAGCTATGAAGAACCGCTGAGCCGCAGCCGCAACCTTTCTAGATGGGAGGGAATGAAGGTAATGGGATAGAACAGATAGGTTTCCTTGACGAGTTGCTCTTTCTTAGGGAAGTTTTGGGCCTCTCCGTGTTTAGTCCGCTTAAATGTAACCCGAGCCTTCCAGCGACCACAACATCGGTCCGCACCATTTCATGCAGCGACTGCGTATATATGCGCATAGCGCCGCTTGGAGTGTTTTGAGCAACGGTTTCACCATGATAGTGCACTTTCGCTAGCAATTTTAATTTTTGGTTTGCGCACATCCGCCTGGCCTTCATATCCTCCATGGGGCGGAAGATGATTGCAGATATGACGAATCTGCTAGATTTGCTCTTAGCACACAAGGTGAGTTCGCATGGCTTCCAAAATGCATGAACAATACGTCTATCAAAATCTGGCCATGCAATTGCAAACAAAAGGAATTCGAAAAGTATACGATCTTATTTTTCTCAAAGGATGCAAAAACCAAAGTTTTCCCGGTTCTTACAGAAGAATCAGATTGATCCGAGATTTATACGCACGGTCTCGTCCCATCATGACTGCATCGGCATTTATTTATTTGTTTATTTTTATTTACCTGTCGTAGAATTAACTCTCGACTGTAAAAGACCTGTGAATCGCAAAGCCAAAACTTCCGAACCAGTAATGGCGGGCTCTCCCTCCCCACTCCCAAACCCCAAACCCCAGTCCCCTTCCCACAGCTCGAGTCCCCTCCCAGTCCCACATTTCCACGCCCCCAACCGCACGACGAGGATGGCTCCGTCGGTGCCGAAGAAGAAGCGCAAGGTGAACCTCCGGGAGAACGAGGAGGTCGCGGCCAGGATCTTCGAGAAGCACCGCTCCTTGGCGGTGCAGCAGCCGGCCGGACTCCCGGACCACCAGGGCCGCGCGCTCTCCACCGCCTACAGTGGCGTCTGTACCGCCAAGGAGCCCATCCGGACCCCCGGCGACCTGGCCCGTCTCAAGTGCGCATTTTCTCTCAACCTTTTCCTCTTACGCTATTGCGACGAGGCTAGGTTTCGGTCGATTTCGGGGTCGCACGCTTGGGATTATGTATCGGGTCACATCACTGCTCTAAGACGAATGGGTCGGTTTATGATTTGGGTGCCTCAGCTCTGGAATCTTAGTTTTGTTCGGTGGATGTGACGGCTTACTCCTTAGGGGATTTTAGTTGTGCCCATTTGGTCTGAGCATGGATTTTCGGTTTGGATAGCTATTAATCTGTGGAATCATAAGTTTCAATTTAGTTCCCCTTATGTTTGCTCATCTGCTGCCGGCTGTTGATTTGCTGCAGGTATATGCTGAAATCGATTCAGGCCATTGCCATTTTTATATGGCGAGGTGTATTTATATCCATCCCTTTAGGGTTGTCATTCTACTTGGGATTTGCCTGCAAGTAGATAACCAGAGAAATGGTTCATATAGAACTCTTTCCCTTTGATTTTTCTTTTGTGTGTTCAATTTAGAGGTGGAAATCACACATCAATCGTTGCTTTCTACATTGAGTTGCATCGATTTTTGAAAAACTTTACATTTTCTGAATTACTTTAATCATTCTTGTTGCTTCCTCGGTTCTATTATTTTTGTCAGGGGAGTTGAAGGTTGGGTTGTTGATGTTATGGAAGACTCCTTTCTAGGGTCCAGCCTTGATTTGTCTCCTCCGACAAGTAATACACCAGGACAAACGAGTAATAGTTTTCATGACTGCTCACGTGTCCTCTGGAATCTATTATTCCTTTTTCATCATCAGGATGGCAACAAGTCTTCTTCCCCTTCAGTTTTATCAATACTCAGTTCAATGGAAACAGGACTATTATCATAATCTTACAGGGTACTGTCCTTTTAACAGGGAAGAAGAACATATGAAACAAACCTTATGTGCCACGGTTGAAATCAGCTGCTTATGCAATAATGATCACACTCTACAGGTATGATTTTTTTTGGGGTGGGGGGGGGGTGGGGGGCTATCTTACCTACATTTTTGTTGTTCACGCTGCAAAATTAGTGGAACCTTAGTACAAAGGGCAACATTTAATCAGAGGAAAAGGGAAAAGACACTTGAATATGCAATAGCGGATATTGACAGTTGTTTCCCCCCCTAGGGAAATGGAAAGAGGGAAGGAATTTATGATGAGGCAAGAGCTTATTGATGTTGCTGAGGCCAGTGGTCTGTCAGAACATGCAATAGGGTACAGTTTCAGTGATTCAGTATATGCCACGGTTGCTGATTTCAGCTGATATTTTAGTGCATCACTAACTGTCTCTGTTGTATTATGAGCAGCCCAAACAACAGTAGGAATTCTCGGAATGAAGGTTACAGTTACACTGGATGGAATAGCATGAAGACGTTAACAAATAAGGATCTTGTTGAGAAAAAGAGTAATCCTGCAAAGTAATGTACCAGGCTCATCCCCATGTTAATGTTATGTTTTTCTGTCATTTACTAAAAAGAATTGGATCTTTTAGGGGGGTAAACCCAATATGTTTTATACTCACGTATTAGACCAGACAAGTTTCATTACCTTCACATCACTGGCTATTGCTGTATAATGTACTATTGTGGCTCTGCTAGCTATTGATTGTGAACTTTTTACTTTGCCTGGTCTTTCTTAAATGATAAAATGATATTACAATGGACTCAAACTCAAGGAGATACCAGAGCTATAAAATATTGCACTTGTATGCATGAACTTGACTCTCATTAAAGGGTTCATAGGGTTCTCACGTAGTATTTAAGTATGATTGTGTCTGCACTAGTTTATCTGATTCATTCTCTTGCGACATTCACCGGATAGAAAAGCCTCTCACATGTTTTGGTCTCAGTGTGGATCGGCTAGATCCAAAAATGCGGCTAACCTTTGGACTCTGGTGTGCTTTTGCTGTTTGGTACATGTGTTCTCTAGTAATTTAACTTGTATCAAGAAACATTCCTACTTCAGTTTTTTCTCTTGGTCGGAGAAGTTTGATATAGTGCAGCAGTGAAGTCATATATATGCTAGCAGAGTTTCAACATCTGATAGTTTGCTAGTTGATGCTTGTTGGCGCCTTAGGTAATATAATGCCCTCTAATCTTTTGAGCTAATTAAGAAAATATATCTTTTAAACATACAGCTCTGCAGTGGTATATCATCAATTTTCTATTGATGGAATAGAAGCAGGCATGTCCAATTCCATAGCTCCTTTGAACTTATCTGGTCCACAATATGAACCTGAAACATGTTTATAAAAATCTTGCACATGTGGCCATTTGGGAATGTTCCAGATGTATGCTAGTTTGCTACATGAACCAGATCTTGTTCATTACTTTGGTCCTACAGTTATCTCCTTTATTTCCACCCTGAATACAAGCAGAAGCTCGCCCTGTTCCGTTTGCATCTCCTCTTTCTCTCTGGGGCTTTATTTACCAAGCACACACATTCTGTTGAGATAACAAACATAGACTTGGGGCTCACCGTATATGTTTGCTGTAGGTATTACCTAACAGAAAAGGGCAAAGAAACAGCTCGCGATTGTCTCGCACGGTCTGGATTGGATGGTCCTGCAGGACCTTTAACGGCGGCCGGTCATCCTGCAGTTGAGCTCAGTGATTCAGATTCTGATGAATATGACGGTAGCAGTCCCCTGATAGGTATTAATAAAGTTTTCTGCTCATGCAGTATGAATTTCCAGATAACCAATTATTGTACCCCAGCAGCACTATAATAACTTCCTTTTACTCAATTGGAGGTTCTGAAAGAAGTGGACTTCCAAACTCAAAAGCAGGCAGTTCCAGTTCCTTTGGTATCAGCATGCTTTCTTTGCATATAATATGATGATATATTCCATAAGCAAAATATTACTCCCCGCTGATCTTTATAGTTAATGCCATTATTTTTTCAGGCAACGGCCATGCTATTAATTCTCCTCTTTCATCTCGAGGAATGTTTGGACAGCAATCGTTTAGTGCTATGGTACACTTGAATTTCCCTTTCCGTACCCTTCTTTTTCAAATGGAACATAATGCAACATTTCTTTTCTAACGTGAGGGTTCTGCTGAAAAGTGTTTACTAGCTGTGCCACCTCATCAATCTAATGAAAGTTTTCTGAAAGCTTATGAAGTGGTGCTGATATTGTATGATCGAGATACTTTCGGGTCTGTATGATCGTATCTTACTCATGAGTTGTATTTTTTAGTTGTGTCTGATATTTAAGCAGGATCATATTAAGGCTGTCTTAGCAAATAAACAATATATGCCCCCCCCAAATAAAAACATCTTTTGAGGAGGGTAAAGTAACTGAGGATTGGGAGTATGCTTACCTAGTTTCTCTTTCGCATGACCTGCAAGGGCACTCTATTCTTCATGTTAATATTATTTCTGGTAAAATAAGATAGGCAAGGGATTTCACATATTTATCCACTTACTGCTGGAATTGTGAATTTTGATGACACTTTGATTCGTTATCTTGTGTTACTTAAACTGTTTAACCTTCTGCTTCTGTGTATTCTGTATGTTGTTTAATTAAATGATTTTCCAAGGAAACAAATTGATTATTATTGCACCCAATAGTTTTTTGTTTTATTTAATCATCCATGTATGCATCAGAATTCAGTTCTCTTATGATTGCTCCCTTTTTGTGCAGGCCCCGTTCCAGAAGAAAAGTTATTGATAATATACGCTCGCAGTTTAATATTCCTGTAGAGGTTAGTTGGATTGAGAGTTATGTGAACTCTTCTTTGTTTAACCCTGCTTGCCCTTTCCTTTCTTCTTGTATCTAATTCATCAGTACTCCTCTGGGTGTTATCCTTGTTCATTTCTTCAGACAACCAAAATACACTGCTAAAAGTCATTATATGCATCAACACGGCTCTAAATTAAATGCCCTGTACTACTGGATTAATTATCTGATATGTTTGGTCACTGCCCCACCGTGTTGATGATTGCTGACTGCATATTTTTCTTGCTTGTGCGCAAGGAGACAGCATAATAATATTACCAAAGTTGCTTTGCATAGATTGAACTGTTCATATAATGTGCCAAAGAAAATGGTGCTGATCCTTCTGTTTGAACCATGTCATCCAGATTAAACACTTGCCTGTTGGAGATGCTCTTTGGATTGCTCGCCATAAAGAACTTGACACGGAGTATGTTCTTGATTTCATTGTTGAAAGGAAAAATGTGGATGATTTACTTGGCTCAATTAAAGACAACAGATACAAAGATCAAAAACTAAGACTGAAGGTACCATCTGAAAATAGCTTTGATTTTTGTCAATAATATTATAAACCTTCCATCTTAACTTTCCCAGTTCTTCATGCTTTCAATTTCTCACTGATAGTAAAAAAGGGCAGCCCACATGCTATCCCTTGTGATTTGATGTTGCTTGAGTCTAATCTTAGTCGACGAGATTTTTTTCCTTATTCTTTGTTATCATTAATTGAAAAGCATAGCCCATATTTGGGTATGATATGATGAAGGACGATGTTATTAGTAGACATAAGCTTGAGCCTGTAGATTGTGCATATTCCCAAAGAAACTGTATTTCTTGTCCATATATATGGGTTTGCTGTGGTTATTTCAGCAACAATACGATGTGATACCTCCATTTGCTGTATCCTTTGCAGAAATGTGGGCTAAGGAAGCTAATATATCTAGTTGAAGGGGATGTAAACACTGTAGATGGATCAGAGAGCGTTAAAACAATGTATGTACTCTTCTCATGAAGCCTGGACGATCATGTCAACCCCTGAATGGCAGTACTTTTTTTCGTTGTTTAACATTATTATTAAATATTGTTCCCAATGCTTTGACTGTCAGCCGTATGCCCTGTTAACTCTCCTCCACATGCCTTTTATTTTAGCTGCTTCACTATTGAGGTTCTTGAAGGATTTGATGTCCAGAGAACCACTGGGTATGCTGACACTGAAAAGAAATACGGCCACCTCACGGGCTCTATAATTGATTACTATAGCAGAAACTTCTCTGTTGGTGTTGATACCTCTCGACTTTGCCTGACCTACGACGAGTTTGTGAAGAGGTGTTCTGACCTTGAGAAGGTCACTATGAGCGATATATTCGCCCTTCAGCTTATGCAGGTAACTGGGCGAATACAGCCACCTCCACCAAAGTTTGTCGGGTAGTCCATTTCATGCAGTAGTTTGCTCATTTATTGTGCATCTAAATCAGGTGCCACAAGTGACAGATGAAGCTGCCCTTGCTGTCACGAGTCTCTACCCCACTCTTCTCTCGCTTGCTAAGGCATACACCATGCTTGTGAGTCCTCTTTTCCTTTCAACTTATACAATGTTCTTTACATATACAACTTATACAATCTTACTCATTGGAACAGTTGTGACCAGTGTATGTACACACACATCCTTAGCTGCTCCTCACGCAATTGATGTACAGAAAAATTCAACATGTCTGTAGAACTAAAAGTTTATCCTTATAACTATGAAGGATGGCGATAGGCGTGCCCAGGAGGAGATGCTGAAGAACAAGAGCGACATGGTCAACGCGGGGGCCAGCAAGAACATCTTCAAGCTCATCTGGGCGGAAGGATGAACACCCCGTACTTAGCCGGTCTTTTGGTCACCGTCGCGGTGATTTCGGACCGCCTACGCAAGTTCCCAAGGTGAAGACAGGAGGGACCCTTTTTGTGCTGTGCCTGATGCCTTGGAGAACTTGAAAGTCACTGAACATGTAACCACCACCTAAAAGAACGCCTTGGCGTATCCTCACTCCCCGTTTAAATTACTACTTGTACGTCCTAGAATTGCATGCCGCATATTATGGAGTCGTCGTGTTAAGGTAGTGCATTAGCGCTTCATGTGTGTATATATATAGACACTAATATTAGCTCTTGACTCAGTTGATTGGATCATCTGTTATCTCGTGTCATCTCAACCTTGCTTGCATGGAAGCAGACAAGGCAGGTATTAGAATTTAGCCTGCTGGCAAAGTGAGCGTAGACTCCCTAGAGCCCATCGTTTTTGATCCATGTGCTTGATGAAACATGTAAGCGTTCTTTGGTTGGTGGCATGTCCATGTTCTGCAAGAACGACATGTTGAGCAGATTCCTTTCTGTGAAGATTCTGGTGTTGAGGAGACGATTGATCATGCACGTTTCTCTTGCACCTGGGCCAAGCTGTTCTGGTCTGAACTTTGCTTCCTTCTGGTCAGAATCCCCTCTCTTCATCCGGAGTCATGTGCTGTAGATATTGTTGATGGCAAACAAGTTTCAGAACCGTATGCTGCTATCATTTTGTGTGGGTTCTGGATGATTTGGACTGGAACAAACAATAGGAGACATGGAGAATTTCAAATGGGCCATTGGTACCATCCACGATCTAGCCGAGCTAGTGGGCTCAAAGACGGCACAAGAGCCGAGGGAGAAATCGGTCTGGATACCCCCCGAGGTCACTTACATCAAGGTGAATGTTGACGCGAGCTATTATGAGCAAGATGGCTATGGTAGTATGAGAGTTGTTCTTCGGGACCATATCGAAGCGCTGGTTCGGGCACAAGCAATTTTGGTATCGGTTTGCACAAAATGCAAGCACTATGGAAAGCCTTGGCGCTTCGTGATGGCATTTGTCTTGCTCTTGGACATCTCAAGGTGATCATCGGAAGTGATGCTCAAGATGTCGTGCGAATGCTAAATGAGGCAAAAATTTCAAAGCAGACCTGGCTCCATTGTCCATATCAGCCGAAAAGCAAATGTGGATGCGAGCTCCAGTTTTCAATCTTGCTCAATTCTACATATCAACCGAGAAGCAAATGAAGCGGCACACAAGTGTGCCAAATAGGCTAGTGAGGATCGTAGAAGATGTATCTGGGTGAATTACACCCTACTTTTCTTCTAGAATGTATTCACACACTTTGTAATCCTCCTGAGTAATTCAATATAGCCTGTTGTTGCAAAAAAGAAATGTTCGACCTACTTAGAGCATCCCTTTGTTGTCATTCAGGTGGGGATCTTAGAGAGGTGCCCTTGAGTGTAGGGGCACGAGACATGAAAGAACCGTAAAGAAAGAAAAAAGCAAAGAATCGCAGGCCATACCGCTTTGGCGCATGGCGCCAAGTGGGACAGATCGCCACCCCTTGGGTCTAGTGGGAGCTCCTATAGGGCGCCTTGTTGAGCTTCTTGGCGCCCATGCGCCCCGCTCATGGGCCAGTCTAAGAAGAAAATAGCGGTTGACTGGTTTCCTAGTTCTCTTGATCGCGTTAGACCGGTTGCGGTCAACCAGTTGACTTTTGAAAAATAAGGTTTTTTTAAATAGTGAACTAAAAAATGTCCATGGTTTTTGAAAGACAAGTTCACAAACTTAAAAAACGATCAAGAATTTGAAAAAAAAGTTTATTGAATTTGAAAAAAAATCACATATTTAAAAAAAGTTAATTGATTTTGAAAGAAGCTCATCGAATTGAAAAAAAAATCATTAAATTTGAAAAAAAGTTAATCGATTTTGGGAAAAAGTTCACAAAAATTGAAAAAAGTTCATCGATTTTTGAAAATAAGTTCATTGAATTTGAAAAAGGGTTCATCAAATTTGAAAAACACTTCATTAAATCTGAAAGAAAATTCATCAAATTTGAAAGAAAGGTCATCGAGCACCCCGAGCACCCACCTTCGGAATCCGCACAGCCGCCGCAGCCCTGCCATCCGCCCACGCCACCGACGCGCCCGTCTGACTCGCTGCCGCCGCGCCCCCAGCACGATGCCGCATGCCGCGTTGCGCACACCATCAGGAGGGGAGAAACGCCGCGCCGTCACCTGCACCAACGGCGGGATGGGAGGAGAGGCGAGGAAGGGGAGGGAAGCGGCAGAAGCTAGAGCGGGCGAGACGAGTTTTCGATCAACTCGGATACGAAGGTGTTTCTAACACGAACACATTTACTTTCAGCACTAAAAAATGAACACATTTGTTTTCACCACGCAATCAATCTGATTTTCTGTAAAAAAAAAGAAAGAGACACGCACGACAAACGGTACCCAGGGGCATCTGCCGCGTGGAAAACTCCCGTTCCGCCGCCGGATCCAGCCCCGCTCCACTTGCCTTTCATACCCGCAGCCACGCCACGCGCACCTCAGCAAGGACAAGCCTCCGCCCGCCGCCACCGCTTCTGCCCCGCCTATAAAGCTCTGCCCTTTGCCGGCCCGCTCCTCCTCTCTCCGTCCGGGCCGCGCCTCTCGCCTCCTTCCTTCGTCCTCGGCCCGTCCTGGCCGCGTGGTGGCCTCCGTTACGGCCGCCGACCCCAAATCCACGCGCGCTCGCGCCCTGCTCCCTCTCCTCTCCGCCTGCGGGGCCGCGCCGCTCCCCGAGGACGCGGGGCTCGGCCAAGTGGCAGGCGACCGGCGGCGGGGGCACCGGCGTCGTGTGCCAGCTGCGCGCGCTCGTCCTCGACTCGTGCCTCTCCTCCTCTCGCGCCCGGTGAGGCGACTCGTCCTCGGTTCTTGCCTCTCCCCGTCTCGCGTCCGGTGAGGCAGTTCGTCCTCGGTTCCTACCTCTCCTCCTCTCGCGTCTGGTTCCATGTTGCTCCTCCTCGCTCGATTATTCCGTCGTTTAGAGTAGAAGAATCGCTTCTGATTTGTTCGATTCTGCTCGTCCTCGATTCCTCTGTTCTGAAGCGCAGTTGATTATATGCTCGTCCTCGATTCGTCCGTTTAGATAGAAATGCGCGTCCGATTCGACTTGCTCGTCCTTGCCGCCATCGTTAGTTCAGAGTCGCGTGTGGTTTGATTCTTGCTCGTCCTCGCCGTCGCCCTGATGCTCTCGCGTGTTCTTGGGGACGTCTCGTCGGGGGTCGGTGACTCTAGGAGGAAGCGAACGAGCGGTCCGTCGGTTTGGGTCACCATCTGGTTTGCGAACTAACAAGTCCGTTTGAGAAACTTCTGTTCCTGCGTTCCTTGTTCACGGTGGAGCGATGGTTCATGCGCTTCTGTTATCCGACGGTCATGCGTTTCGTCTTCGCGTCGGGGCGACGGTGTGCGGTTCTGGTTTTGAAATTGGAGCAGCGTCGAATCCGTTCCTCTGTTCCATCACCTGCATTGTTCGTCCTCTATCGATTCTTGTTCTACCGGCAAGCGTGTGTGCTCCCATCCTAGATGCAACGAATCTTGTTCTTGTCTGTTACGGTTGTTCTGATGGTGTTCTTTTCAACTTGTTTCTTGCTATCATGCTTTGCTTATGTTCCAATATATGATGATGTGTGTTCAACTTGTTTCTTGTTATCATGCTTTGCTTATGTTCATATGTGATGATGTGTGTTCAACTTGTTTCTTGTTATCATGCCTTGCTTATGTTCCAATATGATTCGTGTTCAGGGGTGCAAACCATGTAGGCCATGGGTACCGTGATGCGAGGCTCCTCTCCTGCTGATAAATTAGGACGATGGGCTGAGCAGAAAAGCTTGACTCTTGTAACAATCACTTGCTTGGTTTCCATTCATTGTGTGGCCGATTTGGCATCCAATGCATCCGATGCCTACCTTATTTATCAATAATCACGTTTTCATTGTTTGTTTTCATATCCAATGCATCCACTCATCAGAGCACCCTTTTCCTTGTTTGTTCCCTTTTGAAGTTCCCTGATTCAAATCTGATGTGAAAGGTAGGAATATTGATGTCACTTCTGTGTTAGTATACTAGCGATGGTGTGTTTTTAACCATATCTCCTACAAATTTGCCTTGAGATGCTACATGTTTATATGGCATGATTGATTGCTGTTTGTGTATGGTTATTAAGATTGATTGATTGTTGTTTGTTGATTGATTGATTGATTGTTTGTTGTTTGTTGATTGATTGGTTGATTGTTGTTTGCTGTTTGTTGATTGGTACTCCTGATCATAGGTAACTGACCTTGCACTATTCTTTCTTCCACTGTTCCTTGTTCCCTTTTGAAGTTCAATTATTCAAATCTGATGTGGAAGGTATGAATATTGATATCACTTCTGTGCTAGTATACTAGCTATGATGTGTTTTATTCAAGTTATTAACCATCTCTTACAAATTTTCCTTGAGATGGTACATTTTTATATGGCGTGATTGATTGCTGTTTGTTGAATGTGAACTCGTATCTTGATGAATAATCATTTAGGCTAACTTGGTCTTGGTAGTTCTTGATCATAGGTAACACCCTATTACTTGTTTAGTGTAGACTGACTATTCCTTTTTCTGAACTTTATTGTGATTATGTCTTCACATTGCACTGCTTCCAGATCCATATCGACATGCCCACGTTGTTTGATAAGGATAAAGATGTAAGGAACTTCTCCCAAGAATCTCTCTTGCTCCTTGTATTAACTTGGCGACTAGACTTTACATGTTAATTTTTTTCGTGAAACTGGAGCTCCTTGCTGTAACCCATTATATGACTTTGTGAGCATGCACCACTTTCAGGTTATGAAAAAATGGGGTGCTCCAAACAAGATTGACTTCCTCTCTCTTTCTTATACAAGGCATGCAGAAGATGTGCGGCAAGTAAGTAACTCATTATGTCATTATGACTTCACAGTACCATCTTTCCCAACAGATTGAATTTTTTATATTGATATTTTGTTGAATAGCATCACATGTTTGTTTGCACTTCATACTTTGGAAAGATGTTCCTAACGTTGATAGTATTTTTCCTGCAATAGGCACGGGAGTTCCTCTCAAAGTTAGTTATCTTAGCCAAAACTCTGATTTTTGCCAAAATTGAGAATGTGGAGGTAATTAACATGTATTTTTCTATTGAGTACTACTTTGTTCGTTCTTTAGGTGTTCTTATTTCAGAAGTGCAACATGGCTGGAAAGCCTGCTGTTGTTACTCGTTGTAGCGACCAGACCTCAAACAGTCTGATCTCTGTGCTTCGGTGTCATCCCTGGATCAGTAATGCTGACACCACACAGTACTGGGAGGATTTATAGCAGAGTAGCAATCACACACTTATTTCATCGAGTGTCTCAAAAGAGAACTTATTGTTGGGGAACGTAGCAGAAATTCAAAATTTTCCTACGTGTCACCAAGATCTATCTATGGAGAAACTAGCAACGAGGGGAAGGAGAGTGCATCTACATACCCTTGTAGATCGCTAAGCGGAAGCGTTCAAGTGAACGGGGTTGATGGAGTCGTACTCGTCGTGATCCAAATCACCGATGACCAAGTGCCGAACGCACGGCACCTCCGCGTTCAACACATGTACAGCCCGGTGACGTCTCCCATGCCTTAATCCAGCAAGGAGAGAGGGAGAGGTTGAGGAAGACTCCATCCAGCAGCAGCACAACGGCGTGGTGATGGTGGAGGAGCGTGGCAATCCTGCAGGGCTTCGCCAAGCACCACGGGAGAGGAGAAGGACTTGGGAGAGGGGAGGGCTGCACCAAAGGCAAAGGTATGGCTGCCCTCCCACCCCCACACATATATATAGGGGCAAGGGAGAGGGGGCGCAGCCTTGGCCCTTCCTCCAAGGAAGGGTGCGGCTAGGGAGGAGTCCCTCCTCCCCAAGGCACCTCGGAGGTGCCTTCCCCCTTTAGGACTCTTCCTTTCCTTATTCCTTGGCGCATGGGCCTTTTGGGGCTGGTGCCCTTGGCCCATAAAGGCCAAGGCGCACCCCCTTACAGCTCATGTGCCCCCCCGGGGCAGGTGGCCCCATCCGGTGGACCCCCGGGACCCTTCCGGTGGTCCCGGTACAATACCGGTGACCCCGAAACTTGTCCGGTGACCAAAACAGGACTTCCCATATATAAATATTTACCTTCGGACCATTTCGGAACTCCTCGTGATGTATGGGATCTCATCCGGGACTCCGAACAACATTCGGTAACCACATACAAATTTCCTTTATAACCTAGCGTCATCGAACCTTAAGTGTGTAGACCCTACGGGTTCGGGAGACATGCAGACATGATCGAGACGTTCTCCGGCCAATAACCAATAGCGGGATCTGGATACCCATGTTGGCTCCCACATGTTCCACGATGATCTCATCGGATGAACCACGATGTCAAGGACTTAATCAATCCCGTATACAATTCCCTTTGTCTATCGGTACGATACTTGCCCGAGATTCGATCGTCCGTATCCCGATACCTTGTTCAATCTCGTTACCGGCAAGTCTCTTTACTCGTTCCGTAACACATCATCCCGTGATCAACTCCTTGATCACATTGTGCACATTATGATGACGTCCTACCGAGTGGGCCCAGAGATACCTCTCCGTCACACGGAGTGACAAATCCCAGTCTCGATTCGTGCCAACCCAACAGACACTTTCGGAGATACCCGTAGTGTACCTTTATAGCCACCCAATTAAGTTGTGACGTTTGGCACACCCAAAGCACTCCTACGGTATCCGGGAGTTGCACAATCTCATGGTCTAAGGAAATGATACTTGACATTAGAAAAGCTTTAGCATACGAACTACACGATCTAGTGTTATGCTTAGGATTGGGTCTTGTCCATCACATCATTCTCCTAATGATGTGATCCCGTTATCAACGACATCCAATGTCCATGGTCAGGAAATCGTAACCATCTATTGATCAACGAGCTAGTCAACTAGAGGCTTACTAGGGACATGGTGTTGTCTATGTATCCACACATGTATCTGAGTTTCCTATCAATACAATTCTAGCATGGATAATAAACGATTATCATGAACAAGGAAATATAATAATAATCAATTTATTATTGCCTCTAGGGCATATTTCCAACAGTCTCCCACTTGTACTAGAGTCAATAATCTAGTTCACAGCGATATGTGATTAACACTCAAGGTCACATCCCCATGTCACTAACACCCAAAGAGTTTACTAGAGTCAATAATCTAGTTCACATTTACCATGTGATTAACACTCGATGAGTTCTGGGTTTGATCATGTTATGCTTGTGAGAGAGGTTATAGTCAACGGGTTTGAACCTTTCAGATCCGTGTGTGTTTTACAAATCTCTATGTCATCTCCTAGATGCAGCTACCACGTTCTATTTGGAGCTATTCCAAATAACTATTCTACTATACGAATCCAGTTTACTACTCAGAATAATCTGGATTAGTGTCAAAGTTTGCATCGGCGTAACCCTTTACGACGAACTCTTTTACCATCTCCATAATCGAGAAAATTCCTTAGTCCACTAGTTACTAAGGATAACTTTGACCGCTGTCCTGTGATCCATTCTTGGATCACTCTTGTACCCCTTGACTGACTCATGGCAAGGCACACTTCAGGTGCGGTACACAGCATAGCATACTGTAGAGCCTACGTCTTAAGCATAGGGACGACCTTCGTCATTTCTCTCTATTCTGCCATGGTCGAGCTTTAAGTCTTAAACTTCATACCTTACAACTCAGGCAAGAACTCCTTCTTTGACTGATCCATCTTGAACACCTTCAAGATCATGATGCTCAATGCTCATTTGAAAGTTCCATTAAGTGTTTTGATCTATTCTTATAGATCTTGATGCTCAATGCTCAAGCAGCTTAATCCAGGCTTTCCATTGAAAACACTTTCCAAATAACCCTATATGCTTTCCAGAAATTCTACGTCATTTCTGATCAACAATATGTCAACAACATATACTCATCAGAAATTCTATAGTGCTCCCACTCACTTCTTCGGAAATACAAATTTCTCATAAACTTTGTATACACCCAAAATCTTTGATCATCTCATCAAAGCATACATTCCAACTCTGAGATGCTTACTCCAGTCCTCAGAAGGATAGCCGGAGCTTTGCATACTTATTAGCATCTTTCAGGATTGACAAAACCTTCCGGTTGTATCACATACAACCTTTCCTCAAGAAAAATCATCGAGGAAACAATGTTTTGACATCCTATCTGCAAGATTTCATAAATAACGCAGTAATCGCTAATATAATTCCAACAGACTCTTAGCATCGCTACGAGTGAGAAAGTCTCACCATAGTCAACTCCTTGAACTTGTCGGAAAACATCTTAACGACAAGTCGAGCTTTCTTAATGGTGATACTTACCATCATTGTCCGTCTTCCTTTTAAAATTCATCTATACTCAACAGCCTTACGACCATCGAGCTGTTTCGCCAAAGTTTACACTTTGTTTTCATACATGGATCCTCTCTCGGATTTTATGGCCTCGAGCCATTTATCGGAATCCGGGCCCATCATCGCTTCTCCATGGCTCGTAGGTTCATTGTTGTCTAGCAACATGACTTCCAAGACAGGATTACGTATCACTCTGAAGTAGTACGCATCCTTGTCATCCTACGAGGTTTGGGAGTGACTTGATCTGAAGTCTCATGATCAATATCATAAGCTTCCACTTCAATTGGTGTAGGTGCCACAGGAACAACTCTTTGTGCCCTGCTATACACTAGTTGAAGTGACGGTTCAATAACCTCATCAAGTCTCCACCATCCTCCCACTCAATTCCTTCGAGAGAAACTTTTTCTCGAGAAAGGACCTGATTCTAGAAACAATCCCTTATTGCTTTCGGATCTGAGACAGGAGGTATACCCAATTGTTTTGGGTGTCCTATGAAGATGCATTTATCCGCTTTGGGTTCGAGCTTATCAGCCTGAAACTTTTTCACATAAGCGTCGCAGCCCCACACTTTTAAGAAATGACAGCTTAGGTTTCTCTAAACCATAGTTCATACGGTGTCATCTCATCGGAATTACGTGGTGCCCTATTTAAAGTGAATGTGGTTGTCTCTAATGCCTAACCCATGAACTATCGTGGTAATTCGATAAGAGACATCATGGTATGCATCATATCCAATAGGGTGCAGTTATGATGTACGGACACACCATCACACTATGGTGTTCCAGGCTGTATTAGTTGTGAAACGATTTTCACAATGTCTTAATTCTGTGCCAAACTCGTAATTCAGATATTCATCTCTATGATCATATCATAGATATTTTATCCTCTTGTCACGGCGATCTTTCAACTTCACCCTGAAATTACTTGAACCTTTCAATAATTCAGACTCGTGATTCATCAAGTAAATATACTCAACATTTACTCAAATCATCTGTGATGAACATAACGATATCCACTATACGCCTCAGCACTCATTGGACTGCACACATCAAAATGTGTTACTTCCAACGAGTTGCTATCTTGTTCCGTCTTACTAAAACGAGGCTTTCAGTCATCTTGCCCATGTGGTATGATTTGCATGTCTCAAGTGATTCAAGATCAAGTGAGTCCAAACGGTCCATTTGCATGGAGTTTCTTCATGCATATACACCAATAGACATGGTTCGCATGTCTTAAACTTTTCAAAACGAGTGAGCCTAAAGATCCATCAACATGGAGCTTCTTCATGCGTTTTATACCGATATGACTTAAGTGGCAGTGCCACAAGTAGGTGGTACTATCATTACTATCTTATATCTTTTGGCATGAACATGTGTATCACTACGATCGAGATTCAATAAACCATTCATTTTAGGTGCAAGACCATTGAAGGTATTATTCAAATAAACAGAGTAACCATTATTCTCCTTAAATGAATAACCGTATTGCGATAGACATAATCCAATCACGTCTATGCTCAACGCAAACACCAAATAACAATTATTTAGGTTTAACACCAGTCTCGATGGTAGAGGGAGCGTGCGATGCTTGATCATATCAACATTGGAAACACTTCCAACACATATCGTCAGCTCACCTTTAGCTAGTCTCTGTTTATTCCATAGCTTTTATTTCGAGTTACTAACACTTAGCAACCAAATCGGTATCTAATACCCTGGTGCTACTAGGAGTACTAGTAAAGTACACATCAACATAATGTATATCCAATATACTTCTATCGACCTTGCCAGCCTTCTTATCTACCAAGTATCTAGGGTAATTCTGCTCCAGTGGTTGTTCCCCTTATTACAGAAGCACTTAGTCTCGGGTTTGGGTTCAACCTTGGGTTTCTTCACTAGAGCAGCAGCTGAATTGCCGTTTCATGAAGTATCCCTTCTTGCCCTTGCCCTTCTTGAAACTAGTGGTTTCACCAACCATCAACAATTGATGCTCCTTCTTGATTTCTACTTTGGTGTCAAACATCGCGAATATCTCAAGGATCATCATATATGTTCCTGATATATTATAGTTCATCACGAAGCTCTAGCAGCTTGGTGGTAATGACTTCGGAGAAACATCACTATCTTATCTGGAAGATCAACTCTCACTCGATTCAAATGATTGTTGTACTCAGACAATCTGAGCACAAGCTCAACAATTGAGCTTTTCTCCCTTAGTTTGCAGGCTAAGAAAATCGTCGGAGGTCTTATACCTCTTGACGTGGGCATGAGCCTGAAATCCCAATTTCAGCCCTCGAAGCATCTCATATGTTTCGCGACGTTTCAAAACGTCTTCGGTGCCTCGACTCTAAACCGTTTAGCATTACGCACTGAACTATCATGTAGTCATCAAAACGTGTATGTCAGATGTTTGCAACATCCACAGACGACATTCGAGGTTCAGCACACTGAGCGGTGCATTAAGGACACAAGCCTTCTATGAAGCAATGAGGACAATCCTCAGTTTACGGACCTAATCCGCTTAATTGCTACTATCAACTTTCAACTAATTTTTCTCTAGGAACATAACTAAACAGTAGAACTAAAGCGCGAGCTACGACATAATTTGCGAAGACCTTTTGACTATGTTCAGGATAATTTAGTTCATCTTATGAACTCCCACTCAGATAGACATCCCTCTAGTCATCTAAGTGATTACATCATCCGAGTCAACTAGGCCGTGTCCGATCATCACGTGAGACGGACTAGTCAACATCGGTGAACATCTTCATGCTGATCGTATCTACCATACGACTCATGCTCGACCTTTCGGTCTTCTGTGTTCCGAGGCCATGTCTGTACACATGCTAGGCTCGTCAAGTCAACCTAAGTGTTTGCATGTGTAAATCTGTCTTACACCCGTTGTATGTGAACGTTAGAATCAAACACCCGATCATCACGTGGTGCTTTGAAACAACGAACTGTCGCAATGGTGCACAGTTAGGGGGAACACCTTCTTGAAATTTTAATGAGATCATCTTATTTACTACCATTGTTCTAAGCAAACAAGATGCATAAACATGATAAACATCACATGCAATCAAATAGTGACATGATATGGCCAATATCATATTGCTCCTTTTGATCTCCATCTTCGGGGCTCCATGATCATCATCGTCACCGGCATGACACCATGATCTCCATCATCGTGTCTTCTTGAAGTTGTCTCGTCAACTATTACTACTACTACTACAGCTAACGGTTAGCTATAAAGTAAAGTAATTACATGACGTTTATGTTGACACGCATGTCATAAATAAATTAAGACAACTCCTATGGCTCCTGCCGGTTGTCATACTCATTGACATGCAAGTCGTGATTCCTATTACAAGAACATGATCATCTCATACATCACATGTATCATTCATCACATCCTTTGGCCATATCACATCACATAGCATACACTTCAAAAACAAGTTAGACATCCTCTAATTGTTGTTTGCATGTTTTACGTGGCTGCTATGGGTTTCTAGCAAGAACGTTTCTTACCTACGCAAAGACGACAACGTGATATGCCAATTGCTATTTACCCTTCATAAGGACCCTGTTCATCGAATCCGATCCGACTAAAGTGGGAGAGACAGACACCTGCCAGCCACCTTATGCAACTAGTGCATGTTTGTCGGTGGAACCGGTCTCACGTAAGCGTACGTCTAAGGTTGGTCCGGGACGCTTCATCCCATGATGCCGCCGAATCAAGATAAGACTAGTAACGGCAAGCATATTGAACAAAATCAACGCCCACAACTACTTTGTGTTCTACTCGTGCATAGAATCTACGCAATAGACCTAGCTCATGATGCCACTGTTGGGGAACGTAGTAGAAATTCAAAATTTTCCTACGTGTCACCAAGATCTATCTATGGAGAAACTAGCAACGAGGGGAAGGAGAGTGCATCTACATACCCTTGTAGATCGCTAAGCGGAAGCGTTCAAGTAAACGGGGTTGATGGAGTCGTACTCGTCGTGATCCAAATCACTGATGACCAAGTGCCGAACGCACGGCACCTCCGCGTTCAACACACGTACAGCCCGGTGATGTCTCCCATGCCTTGATCCAGCAAGGAGAGAGGGAGAGGTCGAGGAAGACTCCATCTAGCAGCAGCACAACGGCGTGGTGGTGGTGGAGAAGCGTGGCAATCCTGCAGGGCTTCGCCAAGCACCACGGGAGAGGAGAAGGACTTGGGAGAGGGGAGGGCTGCACCAAAGGCAAAGGTATGGCTGCCCTCCCACCCCCACACGTATATATAGGGGCAAGGGAGGGGGGCGCAGCCTTGGCCCTTCCTCCAAGGAAGGGTGCGGATAGGGAGGAGTCCCTCCTCCCCAAGGCACCTCGGAGGTGCCTTCCCCCTTTAGGACTCTTCCTTTCCTTATCCCTTGGTGCATGGGCCTCTTGGGGCTGGTTCCCTTGGCCCATATAGGCCAAGGCGCACCCCCTTACAGCCCATGTGGCCCCCCCGGGGCAGGTGGCCCCACCCGGTGGACCCCCGGGACCCTTCCGGTGGTCCCGGTACAATACCGGTGACCCCGAAACTTGTCCGGTGACCAAAACAGGACTTCTCATATATAAATCTTTACCTCCGGACCATTCCGGAACTCCTCGTGACGTCCGGGAGCTCATCCGGGACTCCGAACAACATTCGGTAACCACATACAAACTTCCTTTATAACCCTAGCGTCATCGAACCTTAAGTGTGTAGACCCTACGGGTTCGGGAGACATGCAGACATGACCGAGACGTTCTTCGGTCAATAACCAATAGTGGGATCTGGATACCCATGTTGGCTCCAACATGTTCCACGATGATCTCATCGGATGAACCACGATGTCAAGGACTTAATCAAT